TTTGCCAAACTTCAGATAGTCTAGGCCAAAACCAGTAACAAAGAAACAACACCCACTTGACATTTTCCTTGGTTAAGCTGAGATTCTAGGGGTCATTTTAGAAGAAAGGCAAACATTTGAAATTAACTAAAATCATTTAGAGCTACGCAAGTCATTCTGGGAGAAAAGAAGTTACAAAATGACTCACATATTTCAAAATTAAAGATGAAACCTTAATATGTAATTAAGGAATTTTTACTTACAACTCTAAGGCAAGAAAAAAATACCCAGCCATTACTATCATGAGAATTACAAGGCAAGATGCCTGGGCGAGCCTGTAATGCCAGCATTTTGGGAAGCCAAGGAGGGTGGATCACTTGAGGTCAGGAGTTCGAGACCAGCCTGGCCAACATGGTGAAATCTCGTCTCTACTAAAAATACAAAAATTAGCCAGGCGTGGTGGCCGGCGCCTATAATCTCAGCTACTTGGGAGGCTGAGGCATAAGAATCCCTTGAACCTGGGAGGCGGAGGTTGCAGTGAGCCAAGATCGCACCACAGCACTCCAGCCCAGGTGATAGCACCAGATTTTGTTTCAAAAAAAAAAAAAAAAATTACAGGCAAGATAAGTTAGCCCTATACCAAAAGTATCGACTGAACTGCAACACAAATATCTAGTATTACATTTTGAACCCAGTCAGATGAGCAATTAGGAATTCTACCCTCCCATACACATACCAATAAAAGACCTAAACAACCTCATTCTAAATAAACCCAGTGTTCTCTGATTTTCCAATTAATTTACTCAAGGTAAGCAATTTTCCACCTCACAGTCATTTGTTTTGAAGAAATGACTCCCAAGATCTGCACAACTTAAAAACAAAAAACTAAATCAAAGCTCAATTTCATGGTTTCATAAACCTCCTCACTGTCACATTAGTACATTGCCTTTCAAAGGCAATATTTAAAATTCTCTTCTGCAAGTCAACATTAAGGCATGCTGTTTGGCTAACAAGCTCCTCCCAAGATCAAGATTATTATGTATGGCCTACTATGTTCCTAACATGCAAGCAAAAGTACTCCCTCACGTAACATTTTTTTAGGCAGTAGGTTACTAACAAAGATTTACCTGAAATTTAAATGTAGAATCATACATTTACTACTAATAGACTACCTGAAATAGTAGTTTAAAGTTATCAATTGTATTTTTCATTTCCTAAATATTCCAGTGCTTCTGGAAAAGTCAAATTTAACTTACAAGAAGTTGTTTAATCTTCAGAGCAAACAAATGGAATAAACTAAAACCAACTAGTCTCAGAGCAACTGTTATATAATACTTGATGCTTAACGTTCTTCATCTTTTAGATAATTTTCATCAGAAATTACCAGCTTAATTTGCTTCTCACTGTTTTTTTTCAGCTAAACCAAATCCCATAAAATATGCTCAAGCCTTCTATTGAAGGCACACTTTTTTTTTGTTTTTTTTTTTTTTTGAGACAGGGTCTCTGTCGCCAACACTGAAGTACAGTGACATGAACATGGCTTACTGCAACCTCAACGTCCCTGGGCTCAGGTGATCCTTTCACCTCAGCCTCCCAAGTTGCTGGGACTACAGGCATACTACACCATACCCTGCTAATTTTTTCTTTTTTTGTGTATGTATTTTTTGTAGGGACAGGTTTTCACCATGTTGCCCAGGCTGGTCTCAAACTCCTGAGCTCTAGCAATTCACCAGCCTCCGCCTCCCAAAGTGCTGGGCTTACAGGCCTGAGCCACCACAACTGGCTGATGTTTTTACAACTACTGACAAGACTTTAACAAAGGAATTCCACTATAATTTATAACCACGAAACACCACATATCAGCCAGGCACGATGGCTCACGCCTGTAATCCCAGCACTTTGCGAGTCCAAGGCAGGTGGATCAGGAGTTCAAGACCAGCCTGGCCAATATGGCGAAACCCCATCTCCACTAAAAATATAAAAATTGGCTAGGCGTGGTGGCAGGTGCCTGTAGTCCCAGCTACTTGGGAGGCTGAGGTAGGAGAATGCTTAAACCCAGGAGGAGGCAGAGGTTACAGTGAGCCAAGATCGTGCCACTGCACTAAAAAAAACCCCCACATATCTTTAAAAGATAAGCCTTTAGTACAGAAACAGTAACAGGTTTATTTTTCCAAGTATCCCAGCATTCAACTGGGTCAAATGTTTACGCTGCATTTTAAACAGCTTAGCCCTTTAGTGATAAGGGTAAAAACAAGTCAAAATAATCCTGAATGTTCTTCAGTGGTATATAATCATCACAACGAAAGCAAGGTTTAGGAACTGCAACTGAAGTCTGTTAATTCCGTAACAGTCACTTTAGCATAAACATTAATCACAGTATTATACCTATTTTAGGAAAATTATGTTTATGGGGATAAAGATTTTATAACAGGTTGTTATCCAAGAAGTCAATACCAAGAAATAGTTTAAAAAATACACTTATTAAACTAAAAATACTCACATCCTACACATTTTTTGGATGTTTGTTTTCTAGAGTCGTCCAATTTCTGTAAGACTGGGGAGTACATCATTTATATTTAAAATTTAGGCCAGGCACAGTGGCTCACGCCTGTAATTCCAGCGAGGCCATGGGAGGCCGAGGTGGGCAGATCACTTGAGGTCAGGAGTTCGAGACCAGCCTGGCCAACACAGCGAAACCCCATCTCTACTAAAAATACAAAAATCAGCCAGACGTGATGATGTGTGCCTGTAATCCCAGCTACTTGGGACGGTGAGGCAGGATAACTGCTTGAACCAAGGAGGCAGAGGTTGCAGTGAGCCGAGATTGCACCACTGCACTCCAGCCTGGGCAACAGAGTGAGACTCTGTCTCAAAAAAATAAAAAATAATAGGATAATAAAACAAATATTAGGAGAGTGTTTTACATTTATAAAGTTAACATTTTTGTGAGCAAGTATAACTTTAGGAGAATTTTTTGCAAGAATCCCCAGGAATATGTGAGTTCAATTCATTCACCACTGTGTAAGTGCAAAACATTTGATATAAAACACTTATCAAAAATGTTCTGCTGGCCAGGCGCAGTGTATCACACCTGTAATTTCAGCACTTTGAGAGGCTGAAGCTGAAGGATCACTTGAGCCCAAAAGTTCTATTGAAGGCATACTTTTTAGACCAGTCTGGCCAACACAGTGTAACCCCCTCTCTATTATTTAAAAAAAAAAAAAAAAAAGTTCTGCCTGGCCAGTGGCTCACCCCTGTAATTCCAGCAAGCACGTTGGGAGGGAGAGGTGGAGGCAGGAGCATCACCTGAGCCCAGGAGTTTGAGACCAGCCTAGGCAACACCGCCAGACTCCATCTCTACTAACTTTTTTTTTTTTTAATTAGCCACGTGTGGTAGCACCTGTCTGTAGTCCCAGCTACTCAGGAGGCAAAGGCAGGAGAACTGCTTAAGCCCAGGAATTAGAGGCTGCAACTGAGCTACGATCATGCCACTGCACTCTAGCCTAGGTGACAGAGTGAGATCCTGTTCCTTTAAAAAAAAAAAAAAAAAAAAAAAAAGAAGAAAAGAAAAAAAAGTTTGAAATTGTTCTGAAAAAAATAAAAAAAACTAAAAAGTCATTAAGTTTAACAAACTAAATCTTTTCAATCACTATCAGCTTCAACATCGACAAAGGGAGAAAACTATCAGCAAGAATAAAGATTCAGCAAATCATGTACAATAATCCAAATTCAATTAGTTCACCATCTACAACAAAACCCCCTCACAATTCTAGCAACTTTTATTTTTCTCTCATCTCTCACCATTTCCTTTCTGTACCCCAGGCAATTTGCTGCTCCCCAAACTCATCCCAACTCCCACATGTCTCTCAGCCTTTGTACCAGCTGTTTCCTGAGTTCCTCCTCACCTGGTGAGCACTTACTCACCGGTCTTTCAAAATTCGACGCTTAAGTCTCCTCGAGTGTAGAAGCTTCCTCAACTCCTCCCCAAGGAAAACTAACTGTTCTAAATCCCCACAACACTTGGTAAGCCAATTCTTATCACACTGCATTGTTTTCACGCCTTAGGAGCGCAGGGAGGGCAGAATCTCTCCACTCAGCCCACAGAGGACCAGGCAAGCAGAAACGTTCAATGAACGTGCCTTGAATTCATTTCCTACTTAGATTAAGTGACCCCCTAGAACCCGTTCACACCTCAAGGAGACACAGAAGTTCCTATCCTTCTTCCCACCACAGAATGAATACCAGGGGCACACCCAGAGCCCTAGAAAGAGAACAATGAATGAACACGGCCGCCTCGCCTCTCACGACGTCCAAACTCCTCTCTCTTGGGTATCGACTCGCTCGCAGAGCCTTAGCAGCTGCAGAGCTGAAGCGTCCCGGCGGCTCTCGCTTCACACAAAAGGCAGCCCTGGCTCTTCATTCCAAAGCGTCCTGAGGCCAATCCTCTATAAGCATGCCAAGACTTTCATTAATAACCCACAGAGTCCTGATACCCAAGGCTAGTCCTGATATCCAAGAAGAGAACCCTGTGACTTTGTGGTAGGGCACTGGCCAGTTTCCTCCTCTCTTACCCGATTCCTCACGTCCTCCCTAAAAGGGTGTCACTTGACTGAAGTATCCAGAGAAAGGGTGCGTGCAAGCCCGGGTCCCACAATCGACGGCCCAAGAGAAAAGGAATTGGCCCACCCAAGTGACAACAGACATGGGGCAGCTCTGGGCGGATTTTCCCACTGCCAAATAATGAGGAATGCGCACTGGCACAGGGGTGGCGTTGGCACGTTTCCGCAAAACACAAGGAAATTTGAGTGGGATGTGGGAACTAGGCTCGCCGGCCATGACACCGGACTCTGGGGCCCCCGCCCAACGCTAACCGGGGTGACAGCGGCCAGGCCCAAGCCCTCCGCCCGACAGCCGCGGGGCCGCTCCATCAGCGCCACCCAGGCCCGCTCGCCCTGGAAGCCGGTCCCTCAGTCCCGCCGCCCGGCTCCCCCGGCATCCACGACCCGGCCCCTGCCACCTACCTGAGGGAGCCAGGCCGCCCCAACGTCCTGTCGTCCGGTGGCAGCTTCTCGTCCGCTCCTCCTCCCCGCGGCGGGTGAGGGAGCGGGAGGCGGTCACATTCGGCGCGTCCCCAGCCCAGGGGACGGAGCCCCGAGTAGCCCCCGCATCATAGCACACGCGTTCCGCGCCTCAGGGCACGCGCCCCAAAGCCCGGCCAGCTGACCCTTTTCGGGGCCCAAGGAATGCAGCAGAAAACCCTTCCCACCTCACAATCGTTCTCCTCTTACTCCCGCCATCTAAGATGGCGGCCCAAGCGCCCGCGATTAAGACTCTCGGGCGGCCACGGCAAGCGAGCCGTCGACTCGGTGCTCGTCTTCCCGACCTGCGACGCCACCGGCTCTCCGCTTCTGCGCTAGCCCTCCTGGCAGTCGACTTCTAACTTGGCTCGGGCATCCATCGCTCTGGCCTGAACACAGGCCCCGCCCCCGGGGCGTGGGCTCGCGATCTGGTGGCCGCCATTTCGGAGCTGAAGAGGTTAGGCGATGCTGACTTATTCTCAGGAGGGGTACTCGGTAATCGAGAAGAGCCGGCTTTCGGCCAGCCAGCAGTGGCCAGAGGCCTAGAAGGGTAGAGGAAGGCCTGCCTGCCAGCATTGCAAGACCCAGCGATCATCACACGTGCCCCAGGACACAGAGCACAGTGTCCAACTTTGACGCGTCCTCTCCGGAGTCGGACACTTTAATACCAAATCACGGCTCCGGCACTTGACAGCTATGTGGACAGTCCCTGAACCTTAAGCGGCCTTTTCCTCGTGTGTAAATTGGGGGTTCATTTTTTTTCCCCCATCACATTAGCAAAGAGTTAGAAAAACTAATAATATTGATCCAAGGTACATTGAAACCTGTTGTGTGCCCTCTCAGCGCTATCAGAGTGGAACTTGTACATTTTAAAAGTATGTATCCTTCCTCCCGGCAGTTTCACTTCTAGACATGAATTCTAGAGAAATAAGTAAACATATACACAAAAAGTTACGCGTGAAGATGTTTAATGCCATATTTGCATTCTCGAGAAACACTGGGGGTGAAATGTAGATTAACAGGAAACTGGTTAAGAGAACGCTGCTACATCCAATCTGGGTTGTCATCCATCCAAGAATGAACTAGATATAATTACTGAATTTAAAACAACAACAAAAAGGGCCGGGCACGGTGGCTCACTGCTGTAATCCCAGCACTTTGGGAGGCTGAGGTGGGCAGCCTGAGTTCGGGAGTTCGAGACCAGCCTAACCAACGTGGAGAAACCCCGTCTCTACTAAAAACACAAAAAAATTAGCCGGGCGTGGTGGCGTGCGCCTGTAATCCCAGCTACTCAGAAGGCTGAGTCAGGAGAATCGCTTGAACCCGGGAGGCAGAGGTTGCAGTGAGCCGAGATTACACCATTACACTGCAGCCAGAGCAAGACTCCATCTCGAAAAAATAAATATAAAAAAATAAAAATACAAAAGTAGCAGGGCGTGGTGGTGCATGCCTGAAATCCCATCTACTCGGGAGGCAGAGGCAGGAGAATTGCTTGCACCCGGGAGGCGGAGGTTGCGGTGAGCCAAAATCGTGTCATTGCACTCCAGCCTGGGCAACAAGAGCAAAACTGTCCCCCCCCCAAAAAAAAAAAAAAAGGACATGGCCGGGCATGGTGGCTCAGGCCTGTAATCCCAACACTTTGGGAGGCGGAGGCGGGCAGATCACGTGAGGTCATGAGTTTGAGACCAGCCTGGCCAACATGGTGAAACATGTTTCTACTAAAAAATAAAACAAACAAACAAAAAAAAAATTGGCCAGGTGTGGTCAATGGAGCGCTACTGCACTCCAGCCTGGGTGACAGAGCCAGACTCTTGTCTCAAAAAAGAAAAAAAAAAAAAAGCCATTAAACTGGGCCGGGCACGTTGACTCCTGTAATCCCAGCACTTTGGGAGGCCGAGGTGGGCAGATCACGAGGTCAGAAGATCGAGACCATCCTGGCTAACACAGTAAAACCCCGTCTCTACTAAAAATACAAAAAAATTAACCAGGCGTGGTGGTGGGCACCTGTAGTCCCAGCTACTCGGGAGGCTAAAGCAGGAGAATGGCGTGAACCCAGGAGGCGGAGCTTGCAGTGAGGGGAGATCGAGCCACTGCACTCCAGCCTGGGCGACAGAGTGAGACACCGTCTCAAAAAAAAAAAGTCATTAAGTTAAAAAACCAGAACATTATGTATGATCTTATTTATGCAAACACAGGAACACAAGATACCTACCTAATACTACAGAATGCCATGTGCACTGTTCCTTTTCGATATTGAGAGCCTATTAGGTACCACACATTATTTTGGATATTGGAAAATTAACAGCAATCAAAATCCCTGCGTTCTAGTAATGGGAGACTAAAAGAAAATATAAATAATAGGCTGGATGTGGTGGCCAAAGCCTCTAATCCCAGCACTTTGAGAGGCCAAGGAAGGAGGTTCACTTGAGCCCAGGAGTTGAAGACCAGCCTGAGCAACATGAGACCCCATCTCTACCAAAAAAAAAAAAAAAGAAAAAGAAAAGAAAATTAGTATGCATGGTGACATGCCCCTGTAATCCAGCTAGGGAGGAGACTGAGGTGGGAGGATCACTTGGAGTTGGGGATAGCTTGAGCTATGATTGCCTCACTGCACTCCAGCCTGGACAACATAGCAAGACCCTGTCTCTTAAAAAAGAAGAAGAAAAGAAAAATGAAACAAAGTGAGAATGACAGGAGTATGTGGACCAACATAAAAATGAATGTGGGAGAAAGACTGGCCAGGTGCAGTGGCTCATGCCAGTAATCCCAGCACTTTGGGAGGCCGAGGCAGGTGGATCACGAGGTCAGGAAATCGAGACCCTCCTGGCTATCATGGCGAAACCCAGTCTCTACTAAAAATACAAAAAAAAAAAAAAAAAAAAAAATTAGCTGGGCGTGGTGGCGGGTGCCCGTAGTCCCAGCTACTCAGGAGGCTGAGGCAGGAGAATGATGTGAACCCGGGAGGCGGAGCTTGCAGTGAGCCGAGATCACGCCACTGCACTCCAGCTTGGGCAACAGAGCGAGACACCGTCTCAAAAAAAAAAAAAAAAGAAAGAAAGACTAGAAGGTGTGGAATGTGGATACCATGAGGGGGATTTTTTTTTAATGGGAATAATAGGCCAGGCGCAGTGGCTCACACCTGTAATCCCAGCACTTTGGGAAGCCGAGGTGGGCAGATCACCTGGGGTTGGGAGTTTGAGAGCAGCCTGACCAACATGGAGAAACCCCGTGTCTACTAAAAATACAAAATTAGCTGGGCATGGTGGCAGATGCCTGTAATCCCATCTACTCGGGAGGCTCAGGCAGGAGAATTCCTTGAACCTAGGAGGCAGAGTTTGCGGTGAGCGGAGATCGCGCCATTGCACTCTGGCCTGGGCAACAAGAGCGAAACTGTGTCTCAAAAATAAATAAATAAAATAAAATGGGAATAATAACACCTTCCTTACAGGATTAAATGAGATAAAACCTGGAGAGCACTTAGTGCAGAGCCTGGTGGTTGAGACTTCAGTGCCTACAGCCTGACTTGCCTAGGTTCAAATTTGGACTCTGCCATTTCCTTATCTGTGACTTGGAGAACTCATTTAAACTTCTCAATTCCTCCATTCCCTCATCGATAATGGAAATGTGATGATACTACGTCTTAGAGTTGTAAGGATTTAGTAAGTTTTAGAAGTAAAGTACTTGGAACAATGCCTTGCTCATATTAAGTGTTGTAGAAGTGTTAGCTGTAATTCCTAGAGCTATCTCCCTCTTTTTCTAAAATAACACTTGTTTACAAGGAAACCAAATAAGTCAATATTATAACTATCCCTAATTATCATTATCATTATTACTTGAGGCAGAACTTCGAAGCCACACTTGCTGACCTTCTGATTATTCCTTCCTTCAGCATCCCCACGTGATATTTGCCCAGCACTTTACATCTTAGAAATTTAAGGAGCCTATGCCTCATTCAAACTTTTCAGCTCACCTGGAAGAATGGCTACTTCATTTTTTAAAAAATTTATTGAGGTGAAATGAACCATTTTAAACTGAACATTTAGTGGCATTTAGTACATTCAGTCTTTTACAGCCACCACCCCTAGTTCCAAAACATTTCCATTACTCCAAAGTAAAACCCCTTACCCATCAAGCAGTTTCTTCCCCATCCCCTGATGTCTGGCAATCACCAATATGCATTCTGTCACTATGGATTTTTCTATTCTGGATGTTTCATAAAAATGGACTCACATAATACGTGGCCTTTTGTGACTGACTTCTTTCACTTGGCATAACGTTTTCAAGGTTCATCCACATGGTAACATGTGTCAGTACTTCATTCGTTTTCATGGCTGAATAATATACCATTGTAAGTTTATACCACATTTTGTTTATCCATTCATCTGTTGGTGGATATTTGGGCTGTTTCCATTTTGGGGGCATCGTGTGTGCTAAGAACAAGTGTGTTACATGCTGGGTTGCATATCCCCTACTTTGGATACCTCTGGTTTGGTGGTAGGAGAGGTCAAGTGTGCTAAAGTTATTAGGAAAGGTCTCAGAAGGGTAATAGGAGGAAGGAATGAGTCTGAAATGGTTTGAAGGAAGAATAGACATGCCCATGATGTCAGATCAGAGGAGGAAAATAGGCCGGGCACAGTGGCTCACACCTGTAATCCCAACACTTTGGGAGGCTGAGGCGGGCAGATCACGTGAGGTCAGGAGTTTAAGACCAACCTGACCAACATGACGAAAAACGTCTCTACTAAAAATACAAAAATTAGCTGGGCATGGTGGCATATGTTTGTAGTCCCAGCTACTTGGGAGGCTGAGGCACAAGAATTGCTTGAACCAGGGAGGTGGAGGTTGCAGTGAGCAAAGATCATGCCACTGCACTCCAGCTTGGGAGATAGAGGGAGACCCTGTCTCAAAAAAAAAAAAAAAAAATGAAAGATATACAGTTGGCCAGGCGTAGTGGCTCACGTCTGTAATCCCAGCACTTTGGGAGGCCTAGGCGGGTGAATCATGAGGTCAGGAGATCAAGACCATCCTGGCTAACACAGTGAAACCCCGTCTCTACTAAACAAAATATAAAAAATTAGCTGGGCGTGGTAGCGGGCGCCTGTAGTCCCAGCTACTTGGGAGGCTGAGGCAGGAGAATGGCGTGAACCCAGGAGGCGGAGCTTGCAGTGGGCCGAGATTGTGCCACTGCACTCCAGCCTGGGCGACATAGCGAGACTCCGTCTCAAAAAAAAGAGAAAAAAGATGTACAGTAAGGTCTTTATGTTTGGCAAAAAGGGTGCATTTT